CCACATCGGCCTCCGCTCCGCACACAGGGCGTTCTCTCCAACATCTCGGCACTGACAGACCTGGGCGGCCTGGACCCCGTGTGGCTCTTCGTGGTAGTCGGGGGCGTCATGTCGGTGCTGGGCTTTGCTGGCTGCATCGGGGCCCTGCGGGAGAACACCTTTCTGCTCAAGTTCGTGAGTACCCCTCGGATGCCCTGGGGACCGCAGGCCCCTCCCATCCAGTCCTGCGCAGCCACGGGCAGCCCTGCCGTCGTGCGACCAGCATCCTCCCTGTTAGAGTCTTGGCACCTGCCTTTATCAGGCTCCCTTCGCTGCGGGAAGTGACCGGAACCCCGCGGCTGAAGCGTCGCAGGGCGTTCATTGCCTAACATGAGGAATGTCGTGCTGTGCCGCTCACAAGCGCGTGCGACCCGGGGCCCGCTGCTGTGCCCCTTGGCCTGGTCTCTGTCTCAGCTCCGCTCCCGGTTGGCTGCGTTCCGGTGCCGGAGGCAGGACAGGCTGGCATCCCCCGCCCTCCCGGGCGCCCCTTCCCCTCTCGGCTCCCGGAGGGCTTTAATTACGGCTCCTTCGCTCTGATTGGCTGTCTCTGGGCCAATCCCAGCGGGGGGGAGGGGCAGTGCTCTGATTGGTGAGCTCGCGCACGCCCACCCTGTTCCTGGGAGTGGGGAGGGAGGTGGAGGTGGTGCCCACCGAACTTGGCAACCCGAGGTTTGCGCAGAGGGTGGTTTTTCAAAGCAGAGTGTGACGACCAGAGCCCCCGAGGGGGATGGATGGGGAGGCGAGGACAGCGCTGCCTTCCGCCATCGTGAAACGATGCGGGAAGGACAGGAGGTGGCACCCGGGCTCCGGGGTCTTGGTGGAGGCAGGGGTGGAGCCCTTCTGGCAGCCCAGGCCCCGGAGGTCGCGAGCCCCCTGGTCTCCAGCCCCGCTGTCTGTGCGCCCCAACCCAGTTCTCCGTGTTCCTCGGCCTCATCTTCTTCCTGGAGCTGGCGACTGGGATCCTGGCCTTCGTGTTCAAGGACTGGATTCGAGACCAGCTCAACCGCTTCATCAACAACAACGTCAAGGCCTACCGAGACGACATTGACCTCCAGAACCTCATCGACTTTGCTCAGGAATACGTGAGTCCAGAGTCCAGCCCCGGCCACAGGCAGGGGCACCTGCCGGCCAGTGAGGGAGGGAGCAGGCTCCCTGTGTGCCAGGACTGTCTCCGCGTGAACCCGAGGCCGGCAGGCCCCAGGGAGGAAGCCCCGGAGTGTCCCTGTCCCAGGAGACCCGGACCCTGGTGGTGCCCAAGTGTCCCATTTGCCTCGTCCTGTGGGCACACGACCGTGAGAAGTGGAGGCTCCCAGGCTGGGACTGACGACACACTTCAGCGGAGGAAATTTCACGTACAAATAGATTTCCTTCTCCTGAGGGCCGGGTCCACAGTGCCAGCTGGGCTGTGTTGCTGCTGGCCTTTTACTGGTACTGGGTCTTTGTTTCTTGTGTGTGATTTTTTTTGTTTTTGTTTTTGTTTGAGTTGGAGTCTCACTCTGTCGCCCAGACTGGAGTGCAGTGGCCGCTCCCGGCCACCGCAGCCTCGACCTGCTGGGCTCCAGCCATCCTTCCGCCTCAGCCTTCCAAGTAGCCGTAATTACAGGCGTGCGCTACCACACCCGGCTGATTCTTTGATTTTTTGATTTATTGTAGAGATGAGGTCTCGATGCCCAGGTGGGTCTCGAACCCGCGGGCTCAGGCAATCCACTCACCTCAGCCTCCCAAGGCACGGGATTACAGGCTGAGCCACCGGGCCCGGCTGGGTCTTTGTTAATCAGACCCCTGTACTCCCTGTTATGACATCTGCCAGTTCCTTCTCTCATTTATGTTATTAGTTTGGCCTCTGTCCATGTTAGAGTTTGAGATGCCCTAGAGACATTCTGGCCTCAAGCTCGCAAACCTGCCTCTGAGGAATAGCTGGAGGCGGCCAGAAAACTGAGATGCCTCCCTCCTGACAGTCACCCACGCTCAGTCCACACACTTGCAGTCACACCCTGTCACACCCACACGTGGTCCCACACAGCCACACACTCACAGGCCGATCACACCCACACGTCGCACACAGGCACACAGTCACACCCAATCACACCCACACATGGACCCACACAGCCACACCTCACAGGCCGATCCCACCCACACGCAGTCATACACAGCCACGGTCATGCCTGATCACACCTACATGCGATCACACACAGCCACACACTCGCAGTCAAGTGGATCACTCCCGTACGTGGTCCCACACTGCCACACACAGTCACAACCAGGCATACTCACACGTGGTCACACAGCCAGACACGCACAGCCACACCCACACATGGTCCCACAGAGCCGCACAATCAGGCCCAGTCTCAACCACGTGGTCTCCCGCAGCCGTACACGCAGTCATACCTACACGTGATCCCACAGAGCCACCCCCCTCAGTCACGCCCAGTCACACCCACATGTGATCTCACACGCCACACGCTCACGACCACACCCACGTGTGGTCCCGCGCAGTCACGCTCACAGCCATGCCCGTCACACCCACACGCGGTGGCACACCCACAGCCACACGCCTGACCACGCCCACACGTGGCCCCCACCCCATCACAGGAACCAGCCAGGCAGACGCACGTGGTGGCTGGGGCTGACTGGAAGGGTGCGCAGGGGAGGGCCTCCGGGAGGCGACCTGGAGTGCCAGGGCCAGGATGTGGGCCGTGGCGTGGAGGTGGGAGGGTCGCTCCAGCAGGGGTGGCTGCGCCGAGCGGGGCCTCGACGCGCCCCGGCCCGGTGCACACAGGTGCAACGTGTGCCTGGCTTCCAGCTCAGCCGTGGGTCTGCCCGTGTCTGCTGCCGGCCTGAGCCCCGGCCTGGCGGGCCCCCTCCATCTGTGCTGCACACTCCCACATCCCCTGTCCGCGTGGGCTCCCGGTTCCTCGTGGGCCTGGCCCTTACTGCAGCCCTGTCTGGGGAGCGGCATGGAGACCCTGGAGTGGGTGGCTACGGGGGTGTGTGAGGGCCCCAGAAAGGTCTCTGGAGGCTCTGGAGCAGGCTGGGGACTTGGTGCGCACACAGAGCTTGGGCCAGCACCCACCGTCAGGGAGGTCAGAGGGAGCCAGGGTCCTCAGAGCACGTCTCCGCACCTCCTCTCTCTTCCTGGTGGTCTCAGGCCAGAGCCGTGAGCACAGGACCCCTCCCCCGCGCTCCTCTCTGAGACCGGAAGGGGCCCCCGGCTGGGCCATCGGCCGCGGACCGCCCTCCCAGACAGCCCCGGCAGCCGGCAGTCCCACGCAGGGCGAGGTCTGGGGTGGGCCTGTCTGGCGCCCGGCCCGGCTCACCTGGGCGCCCTTCCCCAGTGGTCTTGCTGTGGCGCCCGGGGCCCCAACGACTGGAACCTCAATATCTACTTCAACTGCACTGACTTGAACCCCAGCCGAGAGCGCTGCGGGGTGCCCTTCTCCTGCTGCGTCAGGGACCCTGCGGTGAGTGGGGCGGGGCGGCTGAGGGGCAGGGGGTGCTGTGGCGGGAACCCCTGGCCCCGCCTGGCTCTGCCCTGCTGCGAGGCCTGGGGGTGGGGCTGCTTCCCTGGCGGTGACGGCAGGACCCTGGGGGAGGGGCCTGCCCAGAGGCCTCCCGAGCCCTGTGT